GGGGGAGGGGGGGGGGGGGGGCGGTGAGGAAGGGGGACTGGATTCAGTCTCATCCGGTCTTCCTTCTCTACCAAGCAGCAGATCAGTGGGATTTTAACTTTTTTTAAAGGGCTCCAATTGCACAGCCTTTATTACTTTACCTGCAGTGTATTGGATTGCAACCTTTAGTCAGTAGCTTTAAAACTTCTTGAAGTGGAGCCCACTAGAACACTTGCTGTAGTTTTCTGTTTGAAGAAGTGAACTGTGACTCATAAAAGCTCATACCCTGCCACAAATTTCGTTAGTCTTTATGGCGCTACTAGACTCTTGCTCTTTTCTACTGCTACAGACAGACTAATGTGGCTACCCATCTTGTAGTTTTCTGGATTGACTTACAAAGTAGTGGCACACTACTTTCCCTGTCTCCAACAGAAAACACAGTTAGCAGTGAACCAGTTTCTATTGTATTTTTCATTTTAGTATTTGTAAGTACATGCGGGGCACCTGAGAGGATTTTATGGGGGCAGGAACACCATCCCTATCTGTTGGTACTTCTCCCCACATGATCTCTGCTTACCCTCCTTTCCTCTGCCTCCCCTGCCTCCCCACCTATATTTCCCAGGTCTCCCATTTGCTGCTTTAACTCCACTGCTTTCTTCCTTCCCTCCTCTCACAATTTCTTCTCTTTTCCCGCTTCCTTACCCACACTTTACTCAGTTGTCCTTTTCCCCTTCCCCAGTAGCTGCTTCTCACCCCTTCTTCCTTCATGTCTTTCTGGTCTGTCCCTTTCGTTTTTCTCCCTTAACTCATCTTAAGTTTCAAAATGAAATGGTGATAGTCATTTTGAATTACCTAGGCAACCACAGACAACCTTAGACTGAGACTGAACCCAATAAAGATGGGGGGGGGGCTTCAGGGATGGGGTTCAGACTTCCTGCTCTTGACAGGGTGCCATTGATCTGTACTCTGAGCCCATGTTCAGAATAATAGATGGATGGATGGATTGGTGCATGTATAAATAGATAGCATTATTGAACAACAAGAAGTATTTCATGGCCATTTCACACACTATGCAAGCCCACGTATTCTATTAAGCCTCCTTGGAGCTTCCTCTCCCAGGCTACTCTGTTCCTCTTCCTTCTGTCCTGGTCTCACAACTAACTACCAAGATACTTGCAACCCGCTTGACTCACCACAGTCTGAGAATCACTACTTTAAGGGGTCTATCATCAGTCAGATAATGTGTTTCCGCAACAATCATACAACTCCATATCCCCTTATCCCCTTCTTATAATATGTAGTCTGGTCTTTATTGCTCTGCCAAAGCAATTCAGGTGAATTAAGATTACTTTAAAATGTTTATCATTACTGGTCTGAGGGAAAAGTGCACAATATCATGTCGCATATTTAACTATCCACCAAGAAACTGGACTGCAAAGAATTCAGCAGCTGCTTTGCCCTGAAACTAAGTAATCTACTGCATCTGTTATCAAGAAAAGAAGTTGTTGATTTAAGAAACTATGTATGTATTATAAATCCTTTCTGCCTTGGTTTAACAAGGATGTTTACCTAAGGTGGAACAGGTGGGCAGCCATGTTGGTCTGAAGCAATAGAACAAAGTTAGAGTCCAGTGGTACCTGTAAGACCAACAAAGTTCCTCAGAGTGTGTGTGCATACCTTGCTCATACCCAAGTGCATACCTTGAATAAAACTTTGTTTTAACGGTGCCACTGGACTCTAAGGTACAACAGTTAGCTCATACTGTTAGGAATCTAACATTGCTGCTGCTGTTTGTCAGGATCCAGGCATTTATTTATTTATTTAGGCCTACAGAAAGTTCCAGAACAAATTAGATAGTATAATTTAAATAATCAAAACAACCCGACAATTAAACCTTGGGCAATGTCGCTTCACTGCACTGCCTACAAAACTTTCCCAGGCTGCAAGCCATGGGCAAAGAGGCTAGGCCAAGAGCTCTTTGGCAGCTATTTCTCTCTTTACTTTGACATCTTTTTGGAGTTTCTGTTCTTTCTTCTCCTTCTCCTTCTCCTTCCTCCTCTCTTCTTCTTCTCAATGACAGAGCATCTTTGTTACATGCAGAAACTCCAAGATCCAATCCTTGGTCTCACCAATTAAAAGGATCAGGTAGTAGGTGGTGTGAAAGATCTCTGCATGAGACTAGAGAGCCATTGTCAGTTGGAGTAAACAATACTGACCTTGATGGACCAGTATTCTGACTCAGTAGAAGGCAGCTTCACATGTTCTTCTCTCTTTTTAGGTTTCTCATCAAATCCTGTAATAGGGTTTTCATTCTTTATATTCACCATCTTGCTTCCCTGTTTATGCCTAACACCATCAACTGTATGCTGAAAAACTTCAGCTGTATTTTGTTTTGTCCCCATTTACTCCTGTTACATCTGTGCTGTCTCTTTTTTGGATCTCCCCTTCTTACCTCTAAATTAATCTTTCCAAAACAGAGTCCATGTTTTTCTTCTTTGTTATGTTGCCTTTTCTCCATTTTCCTCCCACCCTTAATGGTATTTGGGGAAAACTGTTTGCTTCCCATATAGTGATTTATTACTGTTGCAACTGCTTTGTGGAATGTGGCCATTCAAATATCAGAGGCACTCACTGACTATTGCCTGTGATATGAATAGTGAGATTCACAATGTCACAGTATTTTATTACTTCCAAGAGAGTCACTCACTCACTCACTCACTCACTCACTCACTCACTCACTCACTCACTCACTCATACTGTTCTGTTCTACAGTCACATTACTTACTAATGGATTTTCATTTTTATTCTTTGTATGATTAAAAGACAGCCAACCCACGTGCTTGTTCAGAGATCGTTTTTTGGAAATGCAAACTGTGGATGATTATAACTTCCGTTCTCCTGTGTTTGATCCTTGTGATTATTATAAGTTTAACTTTTTATTCAGGTATGTATCCAAATATGAATCTTGCCAACAAAATCTCAGAGATGTATTAGGGAAGGAAGAACTGGTGGTGGTGGAAAGTGCCTATAAGTCACAGCTGATTTAGGTGACCTTGTAGGATTTTCAAGGCAAGAGACATTCAGAGGTGGCTTCCCATTGCCTGCCTCTGTGTAGCAGACCTTGACTTCCTTGGTGGTCTCACATCCAAATATCAACCAGGACTATGCCTGCTTAGCTTCTAAGATCTGCCAAGATCCAGGTCAAGGCAAGGGAAAACTGCTCTCCACTATAACCTATATTCAACTACGTTAATCATATAAAACATAAACAATATAAAATCAACATCACCAGTGTGGGGTAGTGGTTAGAGTGCCAGACTAGGATCTGGGAGAGCTGGGTTTGAATCCCTAATGTGCCATAAAAGATAGCTGGGCCATTTACTCACTCTCAGCCAAACCTCCTTCACAGGGTAGTTGTGATGATAGAATGGAGGAGATGTAAGCCACTTTGGGTTCTCATTGGGCAGAAAGGTGGGGAATAAACAAAGTAAATAACTATAGGGGGGAAATAAGATGATAAAATGGAGGAGATGTAAGCCACTTTGGGTTCTCATTGGGCAGAAAGGTGGGGAATAAACAAAGTAAATAACTATAGGGGGGAAATAAGAAAGGCAGCATTCATTCCAAAAAGCTTGCCTGAACAGGGAGTTGTGTCATCTGGAACAATATAAGTGCTGGAGGTAATTTGAAGAGAGTAATTTGAAGTTGTAGTACCACTACTTTTACCCATTTCCTTGCTAAGAGCTGGATATGATACTTGAACTGTCTCTTTCTCACATTAATTGTTGGCATAACTGATCTACTGGTTCTGAGCTGTGTGACATTGGAAGAGGGAAAAGATGATGAATTAGTTTTGTTTACAAGGGCAGACTGGTAAATTAATATGGCCCAAGAAATCCCTGGGATGCTACAAGGCCACTTAGGTAGTGGGTGTCAGCTTACCAGTTGCCTTCTCCTGAACTGCCCTAAGCTATGAGAGCCAGTTTGGTGTAGTGGTTAACTGCACGGACTCCTCCACTTGAAGCTGCTAGATGACCTTGGGCAAGCCATAGTTCTCTCAGAGCTGTTCTCTCAAGGACAGTTCTGGAAAGAGCTCTCTCAGCCCCACCTACCTCACAGGGTGTCTGTTGTGGGGAGGGGAAGGGAAAGGAGTTTGTAAGCCACTCTGAGACTCTGAGCGAAGGGCGGGGTATAAATCCAATCTCCTCCTCCTCCTCCTCTTCGTCCTCTTCCTCCTCCTCTTCTTCTTCTTGAAAAGTGGCATCAGCTGATTAGGGCTCCTGATGGGCTGTCCTGGTTGCCTACTGAGCGGAAGGTGGGGGTGGAGGAAGGTGGAGGAATAAATGCCATTCTGATGTAATACTGTCACTTCCACAGCACCCCCAGAAGTGTTGCCATCATGTCACTCTAGGACTCCCTCAAATCTCTATGCTAAAACTATTGAGTTTTGGGAGGAATCCTAGAGCATCATGATAATGCAACAGTGTCACTTACAGGGTTGCGCTGGAAAGTTATGTCATGTCATGTCATGGTGTCAGAATGACTCCTCTCCCCCCCTTCCCCCCTTCTACTCAGTAGGCAACCAGGGCTGCCAGCTGGAGGTCTCCCACCAAAGCAGGATACTTGGCAATGTTTCCATTCAGCTCAGATCCCCTCATTAGCGTGTTTCCATCCTCTAAACCTTCTGCTGCTTGTCAGGGCTGCGCTGGGAACCCTAGCTCAGGTGAGTGCCTCCTGTAATCCTAGCAGGACTGCTGGGGCTTCACTTTGCTTGCTTGTAGCTACCAATAGCCCTCCAGAGCAGCAGGCCACAGGAAACGTTCCCCGTTAGTTAAATGGCCCATCTGTCTTTGTCTGTCTGCACAGGGTACTCAGAAATTCTCACCTATGGAAGCTGATGTTTGACCATCTGTGAATTTCTTCTTTGGAGTCAGCTAAGATAAATCAGGTCGATTTTAAGCTCCCCTTAGAACAAGGCTTTGCCACATAATAAAAGTCAGAAACTTGGGTACTGAGTATGCTTTGCAGTGATGAAAAGCACTTCTGTTGACAGAAAAGGGGACCGATTTTTGCCAGTTATCCTTCCCTATTCTGACCAACCATGACAGACATGATTTTAGGGGATACCACAGGCTGCAGAGGGAAGGGGAAGATCAGGCATTTAATTTCTTTGAATACCACTGGACTCGGGCAAAATAGAATCCATGCTATTGTGCCTGCTATGATGAGCCCTAGCAGCTTTATAACTAACTGCCAAAACAAAATGTGCCTGGAAGCTAACAGGCAGCCTGGGCAACTGTTGGCTGTTTCCGGGGGGGGGGGAGTTGGGAGCAGCATCTTGTATTTAGCAGTAAACCCCAACACATTTTAAAGAGCAACCACATGGAAATGGTGTTGCAGTAATGACCCTGTAAGGTTATGGCAATAATGGGCACAATGGGCATATAAGATACAACTTTTGTCATATTGGCTACTTCAGTCTCAAGGAGGAAGGCCTAACTCAGTTAGGAGGGAGAGGCCATCCAAGAGCAAGGAATATAAATCCTTCCCAAGATGTACAACTTGTTTACTGTAATCACCACCATCACATCTGTGAGCAATTTTAGTCAGATTTTGTGCAGTCTGTAATAGCCAAAAGTCAAATCTGTTGAGCCTGAATTTGATGAACCAACCAAACAGAAATTGGTGTCATCTCGGTGGTGGAAAGTGTTGTCAAGTCACAGCCAACTTATGGCTAACCCATTGGGTTTTCAAGGCAAGAGACAAAGAGAGGTGGTTTGCCATTGCCTGCCTCTGAGTAGCAACCCTGGACTTCCTTGGTGGTTATAAAGTACTGTGGTCTTCCATCCAGCTACTAACCAGGGGTGACTCTGCTTGGTTTCTGAGATCTGATTAGACTGGGTTAATCTGGTCCAGCCAGGTCAAAGTGGCTTTTGTTTTACTGTTCTAAAAAAGATGCACCAGTGGCACAGTGTCATTGATGTGCATTAAGGATGGTATTAAGAATCACTTGATGCTGAAAAATACACTGAGCCTATTAAAGTTTTCAATAATGAAATAACTTCTTTTAATTTAGAGATTTATATAGATGAAGATGGATACTGGGATCTTGAATCAATAGCAAATGGCAATCGTCATAATTTCTCTGGAATTTTAAATATTCACTGTGCTAATCCTGATTGGTTGCTGTCAGAATCAGCATATCATCTGCTTTCTGAAAATCTTAGTAAAAGGGTAAGTTCATCAGGTGCTTAAAGAACTTTGCCTATAATGTATATATGTATGCTTTTAAAATGTTTAATCTCCCCAATCATAGACAGTATAAAAGGACAAGAGATACAGGAAATGTACAATCAGATTCCAACAGGGAGGATTTTTTTAATGGATTCCAGATGAATTGGATTAGGACCACAGTGCTGGAGGGTCCATTCTGTTTCCTGATTTAAATTTTCTTTGGCAAAGCAAATTGCCACATAAAAATGTTTCCTGCATGTTTTCCCCCATGGGGCAAATAGTGACTGGGGAGGGGGCTTGTATTATAATGGCACAGAGGAAAGAGTTAACCCCATTTCCCCAGCCCTTAGGCCTTAATCCAATTTGGAACTTTTCCATTATTTATTATGAAAGGAAAAACAGAATCCAGGGATCTCCTGGATTTGGCTTGACTATATCTACTCTTGTTGAACCCTAATAAATCCTAGTTTGGAAGTGTTATACTCGTAGTCAAGGCTGCACTTTAGCAACCAGTAAATATATATTATTATGTCACATTTGTTTTATGAGGCAAATAGGTGGATTCAAGAGGCCTATGTGATATTGTGATACCAGCCCGCCAATATTACTGGGTGTGCTTAGGACAGAGCCTAGCATGCCCTTGAAAAGAGTCTGTCTATCTACAGACTAGCGGAGGAGCCATGGCACAGAGATTTGGGGAGATGGAGCCTAGGGATGGTAGAGTTTGGTGAGGACGGAGAAGGACTTCAGCGGGGTATAATGCCACAGAGCCCACTCTCCAAAACAGCCATTTTCTCCAGGCAAACTGATCTCAGTACTACTCCGTACAGTCAGTAGTCTGGAGATCAATTGTAATACTGGAAAATCTCCAGGACCCACAACTTTAAGTAGCACCTTAAAGACTAACAAAGTTTACTCCAGCATAAAGCTTTTGTAAGTCAGACCTTTCTTCATCACTGCTTCTGATGAACTTAGCTCCAATTCATGAAAGCTCATGCTGGAATGAACGTTAGAACATTAGAGCAAATTTTTAGTCCAGTGGCACCTTTAAACCAACAAAAGTTTATTCAAGAGCTTTCATCCCTTTTACACATCTATCTCCTATTTTGACATTTTTTTTAACTTCAGTGTTCCCCCCCAATTAAATCCAAACAAATGGTGACTGTCTGAACTGAGCTTGTTACTGCTGTTTAGTCTTTGCATGTCAAAACATCTTCATTAAGTTGTATGCAAATTTGCTGTTCACCTCTGTAGAGGCATTTGCCTATATATGTGAACTGTTAACTCAATTTCAATGTATCTGAGGAAAGGTGCGTGCACACAGAAGCTAAAACCTTGAATAAACTTTTGTTGGCCTTAGAGGTGCCACTGGACTCAAAATTTGTTCTATTGCTTCAGACCAACATGGCTACCCACCTGGAATAAACATTGTTAGTCTTTAAGGGTCCACTGGACTTCTCTTTTATCTTGTTGCAATAGATTAATGTAGCTACCTTTCTGGATTTAAAGCAATAAATATTCTAATACTGTGATACAAGATAGACTGTTTATTCTTGGGAGACCCTATTTATTTCTTCTGTGAACCAGTTTAAGATTACCTGCAGTCAGCAATAAACCTTTGCTGAAACTCTGGTGTATATAAGGAAGCCTTTCAGTCTCAGATGGAGTAGTTTGAACATCCCAACCAAAGCAAACAAAACACTGGAACCGAATGCACAATATATCAGGTTACTACAGGCCCGCTTCTGCAGGTTGGGATGCGCTTTGCTTTAGTTCAAAAGGGCAAAACTGCCTTAACAATAAGAATCGTGGTGTGTACTGGATGGCTGCTTTCATGTTGTGAAATATGTGGGAATAATTTTCCTTCTCAAGCTTACAGATGTATATAGTGATTCACCGGCTCTTGGGCGCTATTTTATTTCCGCTAAAGTTATTTCCCTCAGGTAAGAAAGGAAAATTAGCTTCATGCCTTTATTTGTGTAACTTAGAACAGTTGGGTCCAGGCCCATAGCTAGGAATTTTTAAATCGGGGGGCATTTAAACATTTCGAGGGGCACTTAGCACTGACAATGTAGATAATTTAATTATGAATGTTTGCTGCCCCCATTACTCCTGTTCACCCCCTCCCTCCACCCTCGATGGTGGAAAAACCCAGGCCCCGTACAAGGCCAGCGCTCTCCCTTCTGTTGCTGCTGCAGCTGCCTCCTCTCCATTCTTCTCTAGCTTCCTTTGCTCGCTCCACCCCTGGCTCAGCATCGTCATTGTTGCTACCATCCCCTCCCCCCCCTCCCCAAGCAGCAGCAAAAGGCCGGGCCCAGGAAGAGGAAGAGGAGGAGGAGATTGGATTTATACCCAGCCCTTCCCTTGGCGTCTCAGAGCGGCTTACAAACTCCTTTCCCTTCCCCTCCCCACAACAGACACCCAGTGAGGTAGGTGGGGCTGAGAGAGCTCTTTCCAGAACTGTCCTTGAGAGAACAGCTCTGAGAGAACTATGGCTTGCCCAAGGTCATCCAGCAGCTTCAAGTGGAGGAGTGGGGAATCAAACCCAGCTCTCCCAGATTAGAGCCCATGCACTTAACCACTACCGCCACTGCTGTGCATGCCTTGTTCAACCCCTGGCCAGCCACCTGCCCGCTGTGGCCCACACAGGGGCCTCCTCCTCTCCACTGCCACTGCTTGCAGCAGCAGCACGCCGGGCCCGGGAAACAGCCACCACCGCTGCTGCCTTTTGCACCTCATCTGAGGAGAGTGAAGAGGAACTGCCCCCATCGTGGGCCTTGTTGCCCCACTTTTCCCCAGTGCCCCTTCCCCAGCATGCAGCCACCTCAGGCAATCCCAGCAGCTGTTCCTTGGACAATGGGAAGGCAAGGAGGAAGGCTGCAGAGGAAAGGAAGGAGAGGTGGTGCAGCAGCCACGGTGGTGCAAGGGGAGTTCAGCCAGGGCATTTAAAGGAAGTTGAAGGGCATTTAAGGGGCCTTTGCAGTAAGTCGGGGGGGGGGCACCCACAAATGCCCCACTGTAGCTATGGGCCAGCTTGGGTCACAAAATGGGAGGAAGGAAGGAGATTTTGGGTAGAAGATTTTGGGAGGCAAGAGCTTCTTTTCCTGACATCGAATCTCTGCCAGCATCCCCTGTGCCTCCTGTCCCCCCCCTTCACTTCCTCTGCCTCACTCTCCTGCTGACTCCCATCCAGATGCTGGAGCAAAGAATCCTGATTCCCTGCTCACCCCCCAAGTTTCTTTCAACACAGCACAGCGACCCATGTGTGTCTGTTGCCAAATCATCTCAAATGCTGGGTGAACCCTCAGGAGAGGAAGGAATTCACAAGAGTTCAGGAAGTCCTACGGGACATGCATGGCTTGCCATGCTGTTTTTAAAGAGGCCAGGGTTAGCAAGCAAGAAAGGAGGATTAGCTGGTGGAGATGGTGGGAGGCAGCAGCTTTTGGCACCATTATTTTTTGAGCTGGTGCTAAGGTTAACCAGTGGGTTTGCACATATATCATAGAATGGCTGAATGTGGTACTTCTTCCCCCATGAAGATCTGTTCAAAGAAACACATTTTTCATGCTCAGAGTTTATATATATATATATATATATATATAACACATATACGTGTAAATGCACTGTTCATGTTGAAATTGATGGGAATCTCTGTAATTTGGCTGCTGTGCCCAATTCTTCCTTTCAGTGGTGAAAACAAAACTGCATTCTTTGAGCTGGAGTTCTCAGTCCCACCTGAATCTGCAACTGAAGAGTTTATGAAGAACAGAATGAGTGAGATGTTTGTGAAGAACATTTTAAGGCAAAATATTTATGACCGGAAAGAAATATATGGTGTAGATGTAACTGGATGTACATATTTGACACTTGATCCAACTTCTCTTTCAGTTTCATGTAAGTGTCACATTCAATGAATACTTAAATTCTGTTTTAAAAGTTAAAGAACTCCCCTTCCAGAAAGTTAAAGTCTGTTCACTGAAATATAACAAAGCCTTCTCTGTTAAAAAAAAATATCATTTCAATATGCAGATTCTTGAATTATTATGATTCTTTTCTGTTTTATAATAAAGCAACAGTAATTTCATTCACATTATTCACATTATTTAACTTGTTCAAATATTGAAAACTATAATAATCCTGAAATGAGCCAGAAATTGTTAGGCATTGTTGATTTCAGCTCCATGGAGCAGGAACCTGCCTTCTGTCACTCTGCCAAATGAAATGAATAAGAATTCAAGCAATGCATCTTTATTATAATATATTTTAACTTATTCAAATTGAACATTGTATTTTGCACAGTTTTTCTTTCATAAGAACATAAGAGAAGCAATGTTGGATCAGGCCAATGGCCCATCCAGTCTAACACTCTGTCACACAGTGGCCAAAAATACCAGGTGCCATCAGGAGATCCATCAATGGGGCCAGGACACTAGAAGCCCTCCCACTGCTTCCCCTCCCCCAAGCACCAAGAATACAGAGCATTACTTGCCCCAGACCGAGAGTTCCTATCTTTGCCTTGTGGCTAATAGCCACTGATGGACCTCTGCTTTCATTTGGTCTTTGGACTGTGCAGTTATCTTTTTTTTTGTATTTTCTCATTCTGCGGCATTATGCACATTGAAAACATCATACAAACGATGCAGTTTGGTGTAGTGGTTAAGTGTGCGGACTCTAATCTGGGAGAACCGGGTTTGATTCCCCACTCCTCCACTTGCACCTGCTGATGTGACCTTGGGTCAGTCACAAGCTCTGGCACAGCTGTCCTTGAAAAAGAGCAGTTTGTGTCAGAGTTCTCTCAGCCCCACCCACCTCACAGGGTGTCTGTTGTGGGGAGGGGAAGGGAAGGGAGGTTGTAAGCCGCTCTGAGACTACAAGTGAAGGGCGGGGTATAAATCCAATCTCTTCTTCTTCTTCTTCTTCTTCTTCTAATGTTCATATATTTGGGGAATACATCACTAGTTAATAGTAAAGTCATTAGTTAAATAATTCTAATTAGTCTGAGAAAGTTTTATTTTCTTTTTCTCTTTTCCCCACCTTGTTTCTAAAGTAATACAGGCTATAAATACAGACGGGTGAATTGGACTACATGGACTATAACATTCATGAACAGCCTACAAAGAATCTTCAGCTTTGGAGAGTGAAACGTTTCATTCAGAGAAACAGTTCTACCTGACTGACTGCCAGTATGTACTCATTCCTCTTTCCATAAACCATCAGCTTTAGGAAAATACCACTACTTGGTAGCCAGATGAGAGGAGACTCAAAATTACAGTGGTATGAATAAGACCATAAGAAGAACCCTGCCAGATCAGACCAATGGCCCATTTAGTCCAACCTCCTATTTCTTTCAGTGGCCAACCAGCTGGCCAAGTAAGTCTACAAGTGGAGCATGAAAGCAATTGCCCTCACCCTCCAGCTGGTATTTGGTGGCATGATGCCTCTAATTATGGATGCTTTCCATTACTATACTTAATTCTCATCTAAATTACTAGCTATAATCCACTTCTTGTATCAGTGAATACCATAACTGAATGATGTGAAGAGGTACTTTCTGTTGCCCATCCTGAACAAAACAAGAAGTAAATCTAATTCCACCAAGGGCATCACATTAAGTGCAGAGAAACATTGTATAGCCATCACGCCACAACTCATGCGGGTTATCTGCATCACTCTGCAAAATATCAAAATACCTTTGCAACACCTTTATGAGAGGAGGATTCTAGAAAATGGACAAGCAACATTCAGCCTCAAGGCATTGCCTATTACTGTGAACCTAAAGATGATGAAGCCAATTCTGGAAAAAGTCCATACGTTGGAACATTTTGGAGTTTTGGTTAATGGGCTACTTCCAAGTTGCTCATTGTGCCACTAAGCAGTGTATAGTACAGAAGGAATAGATGTGTACCTGTTTCATAATAAAATGGTTATATAGAACAGTCTTGAATGTCAGAGTTATTTTTATACGATTCATGGAGCATACAGTCATTTTCTGTCTTCCTATCAGACTATTGGTAATAATGTGTAGTGGTTAGAGTGCATGACTAGGCCCAGGAGACCTTAGATCAAATCTCCATTCTGCCAGGAAGCTCACTGTGGAATATTGGGACAGTTGTTTTATCTGAGAGCCAAACTACACATTTGGGGTTTTAACAAGTTAGGTTTGGGTTCCCTGCATCTGGGGGAGGGGGATGCCTTTTAAAAAGTACAGGATAGCTCAAACATGCTTAGAACACCGCCATAGGGGAAAGAAGGGCTCCTGCCTCCTCTCCCCATGCCATTGTCTCACACAGAAAAAATGATGTGGAGGGAGGTCTTCCCCTATTTTTTTTCTGCTCCACATGGAGTAGTCTATGCAGCAACTGTGGGGTACCTGAGTTAGGTCTGGGGAAGCTCCTTAATTCATTAAAATCCTAAACGTGTGGTTCAGCCTTCAGCCTTGTCTACATTATAGGGTAGTTACAAAGATAAAACCTGAAAAGGGGGGGACCATGAAATTCACCCTTTGCTCCTTGGAAAATACGGGATAAAAATTGTGAATAATAATTATACAAATTTAGCCCAGAAATATGTGTTCTAACTGGCCACAGCTTTCTAGGTTCTGGAGGTCTTGACTTTTTTATTCATCCTGTAGTGATAGTTTAAGCAGGTTCTCTGAATCTCCAGCTTTCATTAAAAAAAACCCACCCTAACTCTCTAGCCCCTTCCCTCATGGAGATATGCCCTTTTCCTCATATCTCCACGAGGAAAGGAGCTAGAATAGTCAGGACTGATTTTAGGAAGGAGGGGGAGGGGGAGGGAGTGGTTTAACAAAGGCACAACTCCATTCATTAAAAAGTACGCTGGATTGGGCCAAAGAAAACCGATAGAAACATTATGCACATTACAGACTAGGAGAAAGCTGAGTCACAATCGGCTTCCAGAAAAACAGAACCCAAAAAAGCCAAACTAGAAGGGGAAAACCATGCAGAAAAGTCCTTAATCTCCTATATCCTTTCTGGTAACAATCACAAGTCATAATTTCCACCTTCCCAACCAGTATCACCTTTGTCTTGTTTCTGGATTCAGATTGCTAACTCTCAGCCACTTGACCACAGCCTCAAGACACTGGCCCAGGATCTTCACAGCCAGCTCTGGGGTACAGTTACCAACCTCCAAGGAAGGCTTGGCATTCTCCCAAAATTACTACTTATTATCACCAGACTACAGAGATCAGCTCCCCTGGAGGAAATGGCGGCTCTGGTGGGTGGATTGTATGCCATCACGATCCCTGCCAGGCTCTTTTTCTTTCCCAAACTCCACTGCCTGGCACTGCCCCCAAATCTCCAGCAATTTCCCAAGCTGGAGTTGCCAACCCTACTCTAAAGGCTTGGATAATGAGATAGAAGTGTGATCAGCATGTTTGAGTCAACTTTTGGTTATGTACAGAGTTATAGGGTTTTCCCTTAACTGAATTGTGAATTTCTAAAACATCTCTCCTTATATATAATTGAATAGTGGGTGCCAAAGTTCTAAAATGCCTGCCTTTAGTGTTAGGCCGGAAAAACTGCCACTCAGAAGACAATAGCTGGGTTGACTGGCTGCTTTGTGCAGTCCCGCCCAGCATTCCATGGTCATTTGCATATGGAAGCTGATTGGACCACACTCCATTCCACACCTCAAACTCACCCCCCCCC